GCTCTCCCTCCCTTCACGGGGAAAGGCCCCGTTGTCACAAGCCCGGGGGAAGTCTCAAGCCCGAGCTCCAGCTCCAAGCAGGGCCACAGGGCAGGTGCTCCGGCCCCACCGTCGCGGTGGCTTCACTGCTCTCGATCAGGTTTATGAGTCTGTCTTGTATTGGGGGCGCCCACAATGGGATGCTGTATTCAAGGTGCCGTGTTACGAGTGCTGAATAAAAAGTGGGAATCGCCTCACTGGGATGCTGTTAGCCACCGGCCCTGTCAGGCTGCACTGCGGGATCATGTTTAATCAAGTGTCCCCAAGGAACTGCCTGCCCCAGGCAGGCCACCTGTCTATGCCAACGCATTGTTTAGCCCATCCCAGACATAAGACTTTGTGTTTTTCCTTGACTTCCATGAGATTCCTGTCAGCCCCATCCCTTTGGCTTGTCCACGTCCCTCTGAACAGCAGCCTTGCCCTTGAGTGGAATGACTGCGCTCCCAACTAATGGTAATTAGGACAGTCAGCTTCCTTAGCCTGGTAAATTGACCAGAAAAAATAACGAGATGGCTGTACAGAGCTGAGCTGCCTTCCTGTCTGATACGGAAATTAGTTCTCGTTTGCTGAAGACTATCTTGGCTTGGAAGTAACTTGTGATGAAGAATTTTCTAACAGTTACCCCAAAAGTTAATAAGCCCTGTTGTTAAAATGTTTACACACTTTCCCCCCCCCCCCAGTAGAGGAAACAGTGGGACTTGCCACCTCCGGATTTTGTCACACTTGGCCAGTTTGTCTTACGGGGCTCCTTTACATTACTCCATAGGAATCTGGGCTTTGATCAAACCATTCCTTAAAGCCTGAGTATAGATCTGGCCTTTATTTATCAACACTGCAGTGGACTCAGCATTAGCATCTGGGGACAGAAGCAAAAGATTGCTCCTAGTCAGGAGTTTAGCAGCAGCTATGGGCTTCCACTATTCCTCCAACACGGAGCGAGTGGGGAAGACAGGCCTGCCCGTAGCGCCACTCACGCTATGCAGAAATGAAACAGTGACAGCAATTTTCCTCATTTGCTACTCCTCAACAGTAGGTCACCTCTCCCAATGACTCAGTGATATTCTCTCCTTGCTAGGTATTCAAGTAGTACCTGCCATTACCAAAGAAGAGTTTTGTCGACAGCTTCCCAGCATTGTAGAGATCCCTGCTTTTCTAAGCTGTAAGCTTCTTACCACCACAATTAATACCAGCTGAAGATTAAGTAAGTAAGAGCCTCACAGAACACATATCTTCTAATATCTTCCATGGGATACACATAGACTGAACTCAAAGTCTCTATATTACAATTTTTCTAATCCTTCAGCTATTCTTGTGGTTTGTTAAAAAAAAAATGTCTCTAATTTGTCAGTGCTCTTCCTGAACAGGTAGTTTGAAAATTGGATATAGTATTTTAAGCAATGTTTAGACCTGAGATATGTAGCGAAGAGAAAGAAATACAGTGGTAGAAATTATTTGAGAAGACACACACTTGGCTGAAGTTCCTTTGTGAGGAGGTAGTACAGAAAGGACTTTTTTCTGCTGCTCAGTAAGAACCGGGGAAACCTGAGGGAAACATGCTAGTTTTTCTATAGATTCTTTTGGGGGGGGAAGTGATTGGCCAAAACCGAGAGAGGTTTGAGATCTGGTGGAGCTGAATTAGGAGAATTTATGTGACAAAGAGCTGATGTGCAAAAGGGAAGGTTGAGGATCATTTTATTGTGTGGTACTAGGTGCTGAATAATTATATTTGTGTCCTCAAAGAACATGCGAATGAATGGGGTGGCAAAACAGATCTCCATGAAGTGGCTAAGAAGGAACATGTAAAATGATGGCTCCGAATATATCGGAGCGTTCCTGTGAATTCAAAAGGACCAGGAAAGAAAGACTTGAGGATGAAAAGAGCAAAAGACTTACTTTATAAGTAATTTATAAGTAATTTCTAGCCACATTCAACACAGAGGAGGTTTGCAGTTCAGGCAAAGTCTCCTCAGGAACAAGGCAGAGTTGCTTTCATTCCTAAAACTGAACAGGGCGTTCCTAAAACAGGGGAAACATGTCACAGTGCTGCTAATCCCTCTGAAGTAGGTCAGCCTTGCAAAGTTGGAAAAGATACACCTCATTTGAACCTGATTAAGAGCATGAAATGAGAAATGGATAAAAAGAGAAAACAAGGAGGGCCAGTTAGAGAAGACAACTGTCTGGACCAGGCCATTTATTACTTTCGTGATTACTTCAATTACTCTGTTCCTTACAAAACTTACTCTCCTTTAGCTTCATTGGGCTCCTGTTAAACCCTGTACATCTTCAACTTTTACCCTATATGTGCGTGGATTGCCCTGCTGGCTTTGCATAGATCTTGAGAGTTATAGTTTTCCAACTTCCATGCTCCGACTGCTGGTACAGAGAAGGTTTAGGAATCAAGCTGTCAGTTTAGGTTTCGACGGCTGTTGATGGAATTGTATCCATTAACCGCAGTTAAGTTTTGGACAGAATTTGAAAAAAAAAAAGATTTATGACTTCACCTCTGTAGTTGTTTGTTTTAAACTTGATTATAAAATGGAAAGTTCAACTATAGTATGGAAAGAACAAGTAAGTGTGGTAGACCTCAATGAAGGGGAGATGGCAACAACATATCTTTCTCCTGTTCTGTGGTACTGCAGGCACTCATGTCACAAATATTTCTATACTGGAATGATAATTTACCTTGGTGACAGGTCCCCACTCTACAGAGAGGACACCACCAAAATTGTTTCCTAGACCTCCCTAGCAGTAATTTCAGTGTTTCTCTTGAAGGACATGAGGTAGAGACTGCTTTGTGCTCCATAAGTATTTTCTGTGTCGAGTCTTTATGTTCGCTGAACTAAAATTTAGCCTCCTGTGATAGTGTGACTTTCCACCGGAAAAAGAAGGGAATTAAAAACTAATTGATTTTAAGTGTGTGGTACAGGGGGTACAGTTAGAAAACTTCTTCTGTAAGTTTGTTTCTATTAGGTTTATCTTCCGCTTCATTGAATGTTGTCCTATTATTAGTTTGTGTGGGTGTTTCATGGTAAAGAAAGGTATTCCAGCATTCTTGATGTGTTTTCTTTCACTGTGTGCCATGATCGATTCATGACACTGCCTAGAGCAGAGTAAATTATTGTAACACTCATTTTCCTAAAATATACCTAATATCACCATCTATGTAATTTTTTCAGTTCTATACTGGATTTCCAGAACTACCTTCCTAAGCTTTTGGAATTTGTTTTTGATGAATTGTTTGTAAAACTAGAATATAAGAGGTTATTATCACACAGACAATAGCAATCTTGATATTTCCAATTTTAATTTAATCTGTACACATGCCTAAAAATAATACTTGCAATATATTTTTCAGGATATGAATGGTAAAAGAGTTTGAAACTTGGTTTATAATTTAAGACAAATAATGTAGTAGAGAATAAACAATATATGGCCAGAAATAAGTATTGCATGCATGTTCAAACATGGATTTATTAACCTTAAAGCTTGTGATATTTAAGGAGAATGGTCACCACCAAAATAGATCAGTAAATAGACAACACTGTAACTAACTGTTGGAAACTCACCATGGCTCTGCCTTTGATATATATTTAAAATGAACAAAAACTTTTATACAAGAGTTTGACTTTTGACCAGGAATGTTCATATCTGCCCCTTCATAAATAAGACTACAAAATTCATTGGAATAGTAAAAAAAATATAAAGAGCTTTCTTGTTCATATGAATCAAGTTCATATGAATCTAATGACTGCCCACCAAAAAGTAGATATATAATGACAAGAGGAAATCATATTTTGCACCTTCATAAAGAAAGCCAGTGAGAGTACTGTACCCATAATACTTCTAGTTAAATTTAGTTTTCAAGAACATCTCTGACTAACTTTGAGTTTTGCTGTCCTGCATAAACGTGAAGAACTAGAGTTGTCCTGTCAAGCACTCCAATCTGAAGATAAGTTATTAAAGGTATTCAGCATTGAAAAATGTATCTTATTATCAAAAACCTCACTGCTCATTTGTTGTTTATGCTTCTTATACAGGGAAGTTAATGTGCATCACTGTAGGCACATGAGTGTGCACTAACAGTTCTCCCTTACCTTCCTGGATGGCTGCTCTTGATCTTGTACTATTAAATAATACAAAAAAATGCTTTTTCATCTTGCCTGCATGTCCAACTACAGAAGACACTTGGCTACCGAGGTGAAGTTTGCCATACAGAGACTAGAACAGTAGTGAACCAGAGTGCAATAGTGCTCAGTGTACTTCCCGCAGCCAGAGGCATCCTTAACCTCCAGGGAGCAGAGATGCCAGAGAGAACCTGATTCAGGAAGCATACGATGCCTACGTGGGAGCTAGAGGAACAGCTTGCTTGCTGGCTTTGAAAAGACGACTGCTCAGCAGGGAATCTGGGACAGAAGGAATGAGATTTGGAACCTGAAGGGCAGCCTCTTTCTGGTGAAGTGTCTCAGTATTGGTGTCTTTACATACCCTCCACAGTACAAAATGGAGGGACAGGAAGTCATTTGCAAGCCTTATGTAATATCCAGTCCTGTAAAGAGGTGCATGCTGGGGGATTCCTCTACCCACACAGCGCTCCACCGTGCAGGCGTGCCTCCGCATCCTTATCTTTGCATAACTCAAGCATAGACCTCCTACAAGATCATCTCCCACCTCTAATGCGCATCTGTTCATTTTCTGCCTGTCAAGCCTCTTCAGAATTTAAAAGAAAGAAGTTGCAAGAGATAGGAGAAGCAGCTTTCAACTTTGAGTGCATTAGATCAGAACAGATCTGATAAGAAATGTGAATTTGCTTGACTTCTTTTTCTTTCTTTTTTATTTTTCCCACAGTGGAATACTCCTGCTGTGTAAGGAACTGTTTCTTGCAACATATTTTTCCTCAGCAATAAAAATATCTCCAAGGCAGAAGTACAATTCTCTTTTTAGACCTGACACCTCCAAAGCCTGATATATGTGGCTGAGTGAGTTAGATGAAAAGGTATTATTAGGTTTTTATTAGATTACGATGCAAGCTCAAGCTAGCTAGCATTGTCAGCCAGTAAATCTAGTGCAAACACTCTGTGGCCAAATTCCGCTCTCGTACCTGTTGCTGTTTGTGGTCAGTATTCCTCTCTACTGTGATACTGGTTCCCTTCTATCAATTGTCAGAAGGCCATAGGTCTACACAGGGCATGACTTACAACAGAAACAGTCATTGACATAGAATAATTCTGATTGTGCTCCCAAATTAA